TCATCTAAACCAGACGTACCAGATTGCGCAGCTCAATGATCAAACCTTAATGACCCTAGACTGGGGGTTCAGGACAAGTGGCTGCGTAACATGACTTACACACTTACAAGCTTACTCGTTTACGGACTTACACAGTCTCGGTCAAGGCTTTCTCTTGGTTCATTAGGCCTTGATGATCAGAGTCTGACATTAGCCTTTTAATAATCCTGATTTAGCACCGGTATTGGGTATAAACACTAACACACACACACACTGGAGCAAAAATAGCAGAACCAATACGAAAGCTAATTGACCAAACCATTCTATATCTATCTATGCTTTTTTATTTTATTTTGCTTAATTGGGTCTATATGAGAGTTAAGATAGAGCCAAATAGTCTTCTTACCCTCGAGGCTTTTACAAGAATGAGTCCCAAATGGCATAACAAAGTAAAGCTCAACCCGTCTTCGCAAGAAACGTTGGAATATGTCTGATGGACCGCGTTAATCCAAACGTCATAGTGAATCCAAACAGTTGTAGTACAGCGGGAATCAGCCGGCGTCTTTTAATGTGATTAACCTACAAATCTCTTCATCATCTACTTCCATATGAAATAAAAGTGTTCACGTTGACCTTGTTTTCACACCTTAGATGAACACACCTTGTCCGTAGTCCAAAGTTTGCATGATAATTCCCATAGTGGGCACACGGTCATTTCACCGTATCACCACACCACAAATCGTCAAAGAAACAAGTGAAGTCGATTCTTTGACCACTTGTCGGCTAAACAGTTGTCGTATCTCTCCATCTGACCTGACCTATTCATATATCCTTTATCTTCGTCTCACCCTTTGACTATCCCAATTTCATAATTGTTTATTTAAATGTGATATGGTCTATCATTTTGGGCAGATTTCATATGACTGCTTCACGCTACATTGGCTGGGAATTTTGATCTTGATTCTGCCATATTATTCCATAATCCTCTTACCATGGATCCTATCGGAGTCCCCCTCTTTCCCGTGGGATACGTCTCGTATTGTCCATGTTTATGCATTTCACTCGACCACTGGCACCATATCTGTGCTACACGAGGCGTTATATCCCACACTCTGCCTCAGCTCTTTGATAGCTCGACCTACTGACCTCACACTCAATTCCTGCATTCTCAAGCTGTATGGGAGACTGTCTTGGCGACTATAGATCCCCTTATCACCGCCCCATGTGTACATGGTCAAGCTTTTACTTCACGGACCATGTCCATCATCAATCATGTCTCTTATTTGCCAACTGGCTCTATTGTCCGCAGCAGCTAACGTGGATTGACTACATGACCAGAGCAGGGATCAAACCTGCAACTTGAAGAGCAACAGAGAAAAGCTCTATCATATCAATTGTCTGAGATGGGAGAAAAACACACTTTAAAGAATTTTCCCAGAGCGATGTAGTCAAGGCCATCAGAGCAGTTGAAGACGACGCATTGTTTAGCCACAGCTTTGGCCAGATCTTTGGTCGTCTCCGTCTTGCCTGTTCCAGCGGGTCCCTCCGGTGCGCCGCCCAGATGCAAGTGAAGTGCCCCGAAGAGGGTGCGATAGCAACGATCAGTTAACGGAGTAATGACCAGACGGCCAGTGTTTCCCAGATATTCATAGCCGTAGCTGTTACAATCCAAGAGGGAATAGATAAGAAAAAGATATTGCTGATGTAATGCTCAAATGGGAAATCTTTACCAAAAGGCTCAAACAACAACAGGAGCCTCTAATGGAGGATTAGGAATAAAGAAATTTAATTTTCGTATATAAGTAGGGTTTCGAGACTATCAGTAAGTCAGTCATATGAAATGTATTCTCCCTATTTCGTGTTGAGGTGATGTAAGACTGGTAGTTGAATTTTCTCAGAATAATATGAGTGAATTTCACATATTTTTGCGTTCCCAAAGGGTATTCTCATCCAAGCTAAAGTGGACTGCAGTTATGACCTCGTATAGGTCTTAGCAACACCTCGAGCGGGACTCGAACCATGACAGTTGAGCGTATAATCTCGATACTTGAACCATTAGGCCACACTGGCCAGTGACCCGATACCCTTGGGTCAAAGGATTACAGTCGAGACAGGGTGAGAATGACTTGTCGGAAGGAAGACTGTGAAATTGAAAAGAAACGTGAAGCCTAATCATATGATTGTGGAGAAATTCAACTATAGGTTTTTATCACCTTTACCGAACTATGCTGAGCACAATTCTTATGTAGGCTCTAATGGTGGTATAAAAAACCTAATAATAAAGAAAAATAAGTGATCTAGTTAATTGTTATAGCAAATACAGCTTTGCTTAGTCGACAATCCCACTATAGAAATGTTGTATAGGAAGATATGAAGAGAAGCTGGGATCCGAAGAATCCGTCTATAGATAGATACTGGCGTGACACTCATTTCGTTTAAGAAGGCGGGTCTAATACATTTGTAGACTGGCACCACCGGATGCCGCAGGAGGGTTGACTTGGACTTTTGTCAGTTGAAATGTACGAAGAAAATCCGGCTTACCGTCCTCGTTGTTGAGCTCACTTTCATTTCGAGTGAAAGTGTTTGGGGGAAGAGATTCGAAGGTCGTTTCCACCAGAAGACGACGGCCGATTCCTCTTGACCAGCTGTCCATTGGCTTTACTGCAAGATTCATTCTGACGCTGTTTCCGAGGCAATCTTCTTCGATTCCAGTGAAGAGGTGCTAAGCTTTCGTCCGTCAAATGATTCGTTAGCTTTAATTTTGTTGTGACTATGATACCTCGCTCTGATGATGTCCGTCATACGACGGACGAAAGCTTTGCACCTTTTTACCGGAATCGAAGAAGATTACCTCGAAACAACACCAACAAGAATGTTCCAGTAAAGTCAATCCGCCATCGTCTTCTGGTGGAAACGACCTTCGAATCTATTCACGCAACACTTTCACTCGAAATGGAAGAAAGCTCAATAATTAGGCTAGTCTGGCCGAAGCCATTTTACTTTCTTTCGGTTCTTTAGAATTGTCGAACTTGTCATTTACGGTCAAACATTTAGTTCTGCCGCGAAACAGAACGGCTTAAGCCACTGGATACCAGGGAACTAGGGTCAACAGAAAGGTATATTGACTGAAAATAAAAGTTAAGAAAATAAGTAAGAATTTATAGTATTCTACGCAACCGGGGGATATCGAGCAGAAAATTCTTGAGATAATTTCGACTAGACCAGACTCTTTGTTATCCTTTATTTGATCGGTCAGGCCAATGAAGCCAATGTACATTTTCTAACAAAGGAAAATGAAAAAGAAATTGAATAAGTCTAGGTCATTTAAGGTAAGTAAAAATGTAATTATTGAAGTCTTTTTAAATGTAAAGAATAGACCTCAAGATGCCTTCTATTTTCACCTAATCATGCTTCAAATAAAGGCTTTTTAAACCAAGATGAACTGTAGTTTCAACCTCCTTTAGGTAGCCAATCGACAGCTTGTCAAGAGGAATCGGCCGTCGTCTTCTGGTGGAACCGACCTTCGAATCTCTTCACCCAACACTTTCACTCAAAATGGAAGCAAGCTCAACAATTATGAAACAAGAGATTCCTCGAAACCCAACTTTTCTTCGCATATATTACCGTCCTCGCACAGTTCAACAGAGAAAGGTCCAAAGCATCCTTTGAGGCCAATCTACGAATCCCTTCGACCCATCTTCTCACACGAGATTAAAGGTACGCCAGTATCAATTATAAAGGAAGATCCCTCGCACTTTCTTCGGTTGTGCCCTCTTTTGGAGAAAAATATGACTTATTTTCGCGATCTGGCTGCTACAAGATTGTGTACTGCTGTGGTCAACTTGATGGTGGTGAGACGTGTCGGCCAATTCGGCAAAGGTTGGCAGACAAAAATGCTTGTAAATGCAGCCGAGTTGAAGGGTCAAATGGCTAAAAACGCATGCCCGAGACTGGACGCGTCATAAAATCTCCTCAAACGAGCAGGTTTGACGATTATGTTGGATTCAGAAATGCGTAAAATGTGAGGAAAGGTGGTAGCAAATAGAATAAGAATTACTCATGCTCGATTGAGAGATTAAAGGAGAGAGAGAGAGAGAGAGAGAGGGTATTTAGTCTCCGTGCACAAGAAGGCGACTCAACTTGTCAACTGAACGATAGTTCCAACTAAATTCCAACTCGTTCGACAGCCCTTTTAAGCTCATCAATCAAAAGAAACATTCGACTGACCGCAGACTGACGGGTTGTGACGGTTGGTTTCATAACCTGACTTACACTCTTACTAGCTTGCATCTCATTACCTCAAGCAGACACGCTTACGCACTTACGCAGTCTTGGGCAACGGCCTCTTCTTGGCTCGTCAAGCTTGGCGATGACCCAAGCCTGATATTAGGTCTTTTCAATCTCTCTGATTTAGTACCTGCATTGAGTATACACGTTGGCTCATACACACCCAATTTCACATAAAGCCGCCCTGACCAATGCCAACGGAAATTAACTAACTCCTTCAACAGCTGAAGAAAAGAAGGATCTCGAGGAATCTTTTGGTATTGTAGGAAAATTTAACTATCAGTCATTCATAATCGCATGCACCTCTGAATGAGTACAGCTCTTATCCAAGATCTATTGTTCCTTTTGATAAATACACAATCAAAATATAAATAATGTGGCCGAGTGTAATAACACATAAAAGTTTGCCTCGTCGATAATCCCACTACAAAATGTAAATAAGAAGTTAGACTCAGAACACACTTTTGTCGAAAATATAAAAATGTGATGTTAAAAAAGAGCCTAGGCCCTGTGGCCCCAAAGAACTCGTGGTGGTGTGACATAGTGATTCATTTGTCGAGACC